TATGATGTGCGATATCGTGAGCCTAACCACCAAGTTAGGGCAAGATTTGCATATGGAAGTAATCTAAATAAGCGGATAACCTTTCCGCGTGCACAGCCACTTTGAATTCCTTCCTTACACTGACTGTAGAGATACCGGCTGAGTGAGTGAGAGTTCGAGCGTTGCGAGCAACGAGTTCCACCGTGTGCCCTGCGGGGTTGGCGTAGCATCAGTGACCTGCGCGTGAACTACTTCAAACTGAGGGAAACTTGCACCGAATCTACCGCACTTTCCCCTCCTTCACACATCAGGTTTCGATGGCATGGTACTTTCAAGACCGCCGGAGATGGGTTCGAGCGCAGAGCTGAACATCTGTCAATGTGTTCCACACACGACTTGGACTCCGCAAAACGAGCTCAGATCCCATTTTCGCGAGAGTGCCCTAGAGGCCATATTAAGAAAATATTGAGTCTGACTCTCAGTTCTCAAGCCAGGAACTCAGCACACAAGAAGAGACCAAGAAGAGACTGACTTATTCAGTCGGCTGGCAACGTGCATCGTGATAAGTTCAAAGCGTGTCAGATTTGTTATGGTGAGGAATGCGCTGATGTGCCGTGAGGGTGAGTTCCCAGAATAGGCCCCTTTCTCTACACTCTTTCCAGCGTGCACCAGGTGACTGTCTGAGCCCGTCAGTCACCCGGTGCTGGGATCGACGCATTGACTGGCAGAGCTGCAACAGCCCATTTATGTGTTCTAAACATGACCCGGTAAGGCACCAGGTTGTGTCAAAGAACACGCTTCTCACAGACGTCAGCGTACATTTTCTGTTCGTGCGTAGGGTGATGAGAGTTGGGGTTCTCTGCCGGTGTGTGGGCTGGCGAGGCGGGGTGTGATTGTGGGGCACGGTACACGGCGTTTTACCGCAGGCTTCCATGTAGGCGCAAATGACCAAATAGACGCATTCAATGGTGGGATGTCCTTGGACTGTGTGTGCAGCTGAAACGGACGCGACAGGTGCATATTGGGGCGTCTTGCACTGGTACTGCAGTCGCAGTGCGATGGGTACGCAACCCCCGACCAGGCCGATGGGTTATATAAATGTGCACTGGCGGCAGGGAAGGTACGAGACTGTGACTGGTGAACTGACAATGTGGACATGTCACTAATGTGGCGACGCCGGTGGCGGTGGCAGAGGGGTTTTCGAGTTTTTTTTTGAATTATATAGGTTTGTCGTGACGACATTGCGGTGGATTCCACTGTCATGGATACGCACATGGCCAATTAGACACATGCGGCGTATTAATGTCCTGGAACATTCTAAGAAGATGAGGTGTGTACGGGTGCGTGGCGGAGTCGCAGGTACTGCTTTGCTGGTTCTGTACGATGGATCAACAAAGGACCGGCCAGACCTGCACATGATGGAAAAGTGCGGTCGCGGCGATGATAGACTGGAATTGACTTCACGTTGTTAGTGGTGGGTGCTGTGGTAATAGTGTTTTGCAGGTGTTTTGCTAGTGAATGTGATAATGAAGTTGTGTTGTAAGATCAGGGGCGGGTTCGTCGTGATGAGGTCGCGCTGGGTCCGAGGATGTCCAACGAGGCCGGTTCGTCCCGGAAAGTCCGTTAGCAGTGTGGACATGATAGGAGGGGTTGCGTGTTGGTGACATCGATCAGTAGAATTTGACTATTGCGACCATTCTGTCTGCTATAAAGGTGGCTGCTTGAGCCACTGTGGCAATTTGTCGTCTTTCGGTCTTGAGCAAAGACCTGCCAGGTCTCCGAGTCGATTTACAAGTGTTCGAATGAGGTATTCACGATGTCCATTCAACGATGCTTTTGTTAACCGTGTCTGCGATCATCCGGAAATACGTCGCCGTATAACAGTCGCCTACACAGGCGCTCATCGTCCATCCTCACGACGTGACCGCTACATCGCACTTGTCTGCTTTAGCTTGTTGTGGATGCGGAGGACGCCGGTTCTTTCCAAGATCTCAGTGTCTGAGAGTCTCTCGTGCCATTTCACCTTTAGTATCCTTCGGAGGCAGTTAAAGTAAAAATCGTAGTCTTCTTGCCTGGTCTTCATAAACAGTCTACGCCTCCGCCCCATGTAGGAGCTTTGTTAGGACAAAAACCTTCCACGTCTTCAGCTTTGTGTGAATTAGGTTGCCTCGACGGTTTCAAGTGGAGTGCTTTGTCCCGCAGGACACTTGTCTGGTCTTTGAGACCTGGCTTGCGATGTCGTTGCCGATCTTGATGTTTCTTGTAATCGTACTCTCAAGCTACACGAATTTCTCCACCACTGAGAGGTGAGTTCCGTTAATTGAGGCCGTCCTAACCAACTCATTCGCATGTCGCTCTAACTGCGCGCGCACATGCTTTCCTATCGATCTGCGCTCGCGACCTAAGCGTGTTGAGATCGCGCAGCTTCCGGCAGGATTGGAGGGGTGTCCGGCCACTCAGATGAGTCAGCAGACCAGGCCACGTGCCAACAGATCATTGACTCAATTGCAGGCCACCCTTGGACATGATGTATCAACCCATCATCATCATCATCATCATCATCATCATCATCATCATCATCATCATCATCATCATCATCATCATCATCATCATCATCATCATCATCATCATCATCATCATCATCATCATCATCATCATCATCATCATCATCATCATCATCATCATCATCATCATCATCAGATTTTGCTGTTGACTCTCAGTGATAGACGCGTGTTCTTCATCCTTGCTGCTGGGTTCTCCTTTGGAGATTCGATTGCGGAGGTTTGTAAACCGGGCCACCAACTAAGCGTTATGGCTAGAATAAGACAAATTCCATTTATATAAATGCGGGGTTCAGAATGGTTAGTATTTGCGCCGATTGGCTTAGGATCAATATTTTCTCTGTGCCGATTGTCAGGCCAAAATTTGAGCAGCAGATGAAGGGGTCTCCTCTTTGCTGCATATCCTCTTCCATTACGGTCTTTGACGCGCAGCCACTCGTGAGCAACAATTAGTAAGCGCTGGTCTTAGATACCATCGAAGATATCAGACCACGAATATTGAAGAACTTTACGGTAGTTGTCGTCGAACCTCGACAGTTCATTACGGCGTGCATGGCGGAGAACGTAAGACTGAATAAGGTAGAGGGGCGAATACGCAGACCTGCTTTACATTACAGGTCACTGTAATGTTTCAAAATGTGCCCCGTCGTCCGTGACACGAGTTTTCGTCCCGTTCTTAAGGTAATTTACCATTTTAGCAAATCGCTCAAAACAATTGAAGTTCAGGATCATTTTCCAGAGCCCAATGTTCTGTTCTTCTGAAGGAGAGGAGGCAGACCGTCAAGGTCGTCGTTGATGTCCACTTGAGAAAGTTACTTAATGGCTTTTTCGCAAATTGTTGACAGGTGGTTGTGGACGCCCTGCAAGTGGGACACCCGACAGTTCGACCGTTGCGGACGATGTCCACTATGTGCTTCACAGCAAGGTGGAGAGGGACGAGGGAGCAAACGATGCAACCCCTAAATAGGGCTGCTTAGTCATCCCAGGCGACTGCCGGATCTCACTATGGGTCAAGACTTTTTGTTTAATGAGAAAACGACTTGAATTAGCCTGAGTCGCCTACAAAATTGCATGTCGCCCTCTCAGTGGGAATTTCCTGTTTGGGTGGGGAGGAAGCTTGGGGATTAAGCTGGGGTCTGCCGAGTTCCAAGTTATACATATTCCGGACACTCATCTGGTTTACCTTGTCTATCAAGTATGGTTACCTGGTCGTGGAAGCCGAGGTGCGCGGTGCTTTGTGGAACAACGCATCAGAAGCATTCCCCAAGGTCCATGAATGCGTTTTGCTGCGAGAGCCAGTGTACTTCGTATAGGTGTTCGCAGTCGCCATTGTCGTGGTTGTAGTACAAGACACAGCTGGCGTTACCTATGCAACATCTTCGCACTTACTGTGTCAGAGTATACTCGTCAGTGTAAGATTATGCAATGTTTATTCAAACGCATCGATGAACCTGGAATGACCATACAACTATAACTTCATCTCTCGCCAGAGACGTGTTTTTCCCTTCTCTTGCGTGGAACTCACGTAACCTGTAAATCATCTAGCGTCTAAGTGTTGTTTTTGTTAAAATTTCAACAATGTCCGGCTCCAGTAACTTAGTCTGAATGTCGTTCGGTGATTTTGAACGAAAATATTCAGTTCGCTTTAAAATGTGGGTTGCACCGGAGACCACGAGAGAGCGCCTGGTGTACCAATGGGAAGTCAATCCCTCAACACAGCGTGATTTAGACGCGCACAAATGCATAATATATATATATATATAGGCTATAAAATAGAACCTGGTTGTAAGTCCAGTAAAGAAAATGTAGTGTACAGTAGTTGGCATATCTCAGTAAATGCTAACTAAAACTCTTAAATACGTCCTCGATTAGAAAGGTTTACTTAGGTGAGATTGTAACATAGTTTATTGTGCGTTAGAATCCTAATATATTTCAGTCACGCCGGGATGCCAGCTTTTGAATGCCCCCTTTTGGTCGAGTGTATAAAGAATAATTAACAGATAACATGAAACAAATATTCTTCTTCGTACACATTTGTTAGAAAATTAAGTCTATTTTTAATTTTATACTCGAAGACAGAGTACCTTTCGCTATAAAAGAAGTTTCCGATAATGAAATTTGTCAAGACCATAGAGATTTCATCTTTGGAGGAACGTATGCGTTATTTCACCAATGCGACTTACGAACAGTCAACAATCATTGCAAAAGTTTACAAACCCTGCATAGCATCTTATTAAAAATCCAGAAAAAAATACCGTTTTTTCATACGGAAAGTATACGGTGGGTAGGTCTGAAACCCTAGGCGCCAATGTAACTACCAATAGGGTCCAAAGTTATTCGACAACTGAGCGCGTTTTATAAAACCCAACGATACTTCTTCTTGTGAATTAGTGTAGCAACGGTTATGGTTAAAAACGAAGATAAATAAATTGTTGTCGTATTTTCAGAGGCTTATTGTGTCGTGTTTTATTATATGATAGTAGATGTAATAAAAAACGCATGCTCGTTGGCAAAGAGCTGATCGCTCATAAGCAGATAGAAGTGGGGTTGTAATTCGAGGCGTTTATAGAAAAAATGGCTTAGGCTTAAGTTAATATTCAAAGTTTGCATTGATGGAAGGCTTTAGCTTTTTTCATCCCCAAAACAGAAAACCTATTAATGTTGTCGATTTGCTGCCGTTTAAGCTAATAAACGGTTCTGGCTTTTGTGCC